ATTGAGAAATATGGAATCATTCTTCAGTATACCACCTCCCACTAGTACAATCATGTTTCATAAAAGCACCATAATTAACAGATGAAAAATCATAACCTAAAAGTTTAGATTCGACAAAATTGATACCATTAAAACAAAGATTCAATCAAAATTGTTATCTTAAGGAAAAGATTCAATCAAATTAATAATATGAAAATTAATGTTATTAGAGAAATGTACCTCCATTGAGCCACACAATAAGGGGGATTTATAGTGATGCTGCATTTTCTGAATCTGTACAACAGAGACCTAGCAAATTGAATGTTAACAGAGAAAAAATAGAAGAGAACTCACGTTGAGAACAAGAGACGTCAGCGAACTCCAAGAGCCATGGTGATGAAATTAAGGTGAAGTGGATTCTGAGGAAGTGTATGAGTAATAAAAGGCACGACACGTGTTATATATGTGTCTTGAATAAAGTGAATCATTAGAAAGCAAATGTAACGACGACAGTGTACACTAACAATATGAATAAAAAGAACACAAAGAAGTAACTAAGATTATAAAAGTATTTTTTAATGATGTACATCCCGAGATGCTTGCATTGAAGCTTCAACATAAGAAAGTTCAGAGCTTTACTAGTATTTTTTTTTGAAATCAGAGCTTTGAAGTAACTAAGGTCACAGGAACAGGACGAAATTGTAAATAAAGTAAAAAAACCTATGATGCATTAGAGAACTAATACCAACCACCAAGTTCTTTTACATGACTCTTTTTCTGTTGGAATTGTACTCTCCTTCCAAGGCAAATGAAAGTATTTCATCTAAAGTTCAACTCACCTTATTTTGTGGTAGATATTTTCCGATTGCCACTGGAGATGCACCTACCTGTAGGAAGAAACTATATCTTGTGAGACAGGGTATGAATGTGTGTGCGCGAGTATAATATATTATATATAATTAACTAAATCACAATATAAAAAAGTTTTATCTAATAAATCTTCTCAATCTTTCTTTGGTGAACATTTTCAAAGAGTCTGAGCTATATGGCTAAAAACTCAAACAGTTTCTTTTAGTCGAGAAAAGACTCATTTTTATTTAATAGTCAAAGAATCTCCTGTTAGTTAGCTATCCAAACCTCAGTTTTTGTTCATCAGGAAAACTCAAAATATCGAGTAACTCCGCCCACTAAGCTTAGGCAGATGCAAGGAGTTTCTACACTTCTTCAGTTATTCCTCTGTTGAGACCTAGCAACACAAATATCGAGTAACTCCATCCACTAAGCTTAGGCAGATGCAAGAAATTTCTGCACTTTTTCAGTTATTCCTCTGTTGGGATTCCAACCTCGGTTCCCAATTTCGCACAGCAGTTTCTCAGTCGTTAGGCCATCCCCTTGTGACTAAAATTCATATGTTGCTATTTTCTTTTGTTGAAAATGTTGCTCCCAATTGAACACGCAAGTGTACGCGATCGCGTAAGTAATATAGTGGCTCTTAAAAGAACCAGATTATCGAACCCAAAGGACTTGTCAATTAACTATTTTTACTAAATTATACTGATCTAATTTATTTAGTTAAGAGAACCAAAAGAGAAGAATACAAGAACAAAAAAATAAAATTACTTACAATAGTTGGAAAATCTCAGGGCTGCAACATGTATAGGATTTCATGTATCATATTTTTGGCTTAGAATTAATTTCAGTTGTCAAGTTACTAGTTTATAGGGTTGATAGTATGGTCCGGGTGGTTCGCCTCTCGCCGCCTACCCCAATTAGTCATCTAACTACATCGTTGAGCGGGATAGATAAACTAACTGACGAACATTTATATTTCATCCTATTTCATAACCAATCAAGATGTTCGTTTGGGCGTCACTCCTGAACACTAATCACCTCAATCTAATGGGTGGACCGAGCTCTCTATATCCTCTGGTCTATCTAATCCCTCCTCGTTCGATTTTAAGATTAGACAATATATTTATCTCATGGTGATCAAACACAAAATATTAAAACAAGAATATAGAAGTAACTTATAATGACAACCAAGAATTAATTCGAAAACCTTAAATAATCAACATTGAATCCGTAGCTACAGCCCCAGAACAAGAGCTTTAGCTACTAATGTCTAAGAAACAAGAAGAAGAAAAGAACCCTAAAAAATATTGACAACTTTATACTTTGATGCCCTCTAATTGATCTTTACCTCTGCCTCCTCCTTATTCTATATTCCTTTTTCTAATAATTATTTCTATGGACTATTTATAGATATAGTAAATTTTAAATAAAATAATTGAGTCCAAAGCAAATTAGGAATCTAAAATCGAAACCAAAAGGAATTGGAATTCCTCCCGTGCGTAAAACACTGTAGCCGCCATGTTGGGTTGATGTTGCCGTTATTGGCTGCCACGTGGCAGCAGCAGCAGTAATCTTCAATTTCGCTATTGCTTCACCTTTTCCTTATACATTATTATATTAAATTTATTTCATTAAGCTGCTTGCTTGATTTCCTTATTCAATCTTTCATCTTTAATTCGTTTTAGCTCCAAACTTCTTCAATTTTATGTCAATTTACTCCTACAAATAAAATACACTATTTAGCACAATACCATAAAATTAAATGACTCAAAAAAGAATAAATATAAATAATAAATGTAAGACAAATAATGATTAAAATATATATTTTTGGCCTCACATCAGAAAAAATCATAAAGAGATAAAAGAGATACTAAAACCAAACTAATACAGTATGGTAACATAAGTTATATGCATAAGTTGGCGCAGTATCATCAGAATCTATTTAGGGGAATTTTCAATTTCATTGCTTACAAGCTATGAAAAAACTCCAAAATAAACCCAGAAAAACTCCAAACTAAACCCACAAGAGCCTAGAAAATTGATTCCGATGGATAACCCATATATGAAGGGAGGAAGTTCAAAAGAATTCTTACTAATAAAGAAAACCCAACTAAAATAAAGAAACCCACAAAGTTAATTCTGATGGTAAATGATCAAATTAATTACTGCATGTGAAAAACCACAACAAAAATCTGAATGCAGTTTTCTGACAATCCAAAATAGAACAGGAAAGCATAATCACCCAATCCAATTCGAGTATAAATAATTGCAAATCCCTAAACTCCAAGCTAAACCCACAAGAGAAAAAAAGTTCTATGGCATCTTTAATTCGTGATGCAAAACTTATAGTATGGGATCAAGCCAAGAAAGAAAAGGAAGTTTATGGAAGTAAGCAAGCATTATGTTTCAGACAGAGCAACTAAGAGTAATGCGGCACATGGTTCAGCCAAGTTCACGAAATTTTTGATGCCTCAAGCAACATGCACTGGTGGATGGAAAACCAATTCTAGAACAAACCAAGTAAGCCTCCTAGTTCAGCTAGAACTTTGAAGGATAATACTATTACATCCACTAGAGATGCTAGTGGAGCTGAGCACATGGTAGGTGATGCAATTGAGGATGCTAAGCATGAAGCACAACAACCTAATGTGGGCAATTTTGTGTCAAATGCGGAAGAAGGGGATGAAGGTCCCATGAAATTTCGTTCGGAAGCTCTTCCCACCAACATCCCAAAGAAAACCCCCACTAAAATAAAGAAACCCATTAAGTTAATTCCGACGGGAAAAGACCAAATTAATTATTGCATGCAAGAAAACACAACAAAAATCAAGGATAATCGAACATCAATAACAAACCCAAATAGGAAAATAAGCAAATATTCACACACCCACATCAAATTTGGAACTTCAACTTTGACGAAAAGAAAGATGACACAAAAAAAACTCAATTGAAAAATGAAAGAGCCTTACCTGGAGAATGCTGAAGTGAAGAACAGAACTTTGATGTGCAGAGACGGTGGAGTATAAATGAAGAAGATACAGAATAATGTATAAGAGTGATAACACAGGAGAAAGACACGTAGTCACAATAGGGAACTGAAAAGACAAAATTGATGACACAGGAGGAAGACACGTAATTATATAGGGAACTAAAAAGACAAAAATAGCCTTGAGAGCAATGAAGCAGGCATGTTGAATCAAGCCTTTTCTAATATAAGAGTAAATATAACTAGATTAAGGCAGCCCGTGCAAGCACGGGCCCAACAGTTAGATTGGGTCATGAAAGTCTTCTCTTCGATGATTCTATTGTAAGCTCATAACATTATGGTTTGAGAAGAGGTTTAGTTCGTCCTAACACTTGGGTAGGCAAGTAGTATGTGACAAACAAGTTTAGGCATGTCAGGAAGTTAGCATCATGTAGGTGCTATTTTTTCACTTTTCATCAATACCTTTTAGTTTATATTGTGGTGCTCAAGCAGTTCTGTATTGTAAATTAAAGTTTACCTGTTGGTTTGTGCTAGCAAATAAGTGTCAATAAGAACAACATTCATTTACATCATTGTTCCTAAAGGGTTATAATAAGAAGGGGTTCTATTTAAAATCGGTTTAACATAATGGAGAAAAAGGTTAAAGCAATTTGAAATGTAGGTATTATCTGATGCTATTTTAGCACTGATAATATGTGCTTTAATATCACAACATGTTAATCGTGTACCATTACATAAACCTTCATATGGATTCAAAAGCGGAAGGCCAGACTGTAGGAATTGTAACTTGGAGAGGACAACTTTGAAGTCACTTGTTGTTGCTGGAACATTGCATTCTTTTCAGTTGCCATGCTAAGTCTATACAACTCACGTCGTCTAGTATTTCTGTTTAGCACGTTTCTTATCAGGTGTGGAACGTTTGTTTGGTTGTTGAGCATCCATTTATATCCAATTTGTTACTCCTGAATATTAGGCGGCAACAATATTCTACATTAGTAGTGGAATTAGTAAGTAGAAAGATCCATGTGCGTCCAGCCTCGAAGGTAGAGATAAGACTGCGTACACACCGTCCTCTTCAAACCTCACCTATGAGATGATGAGATTACACAGAGTATGTTGTTGTTGTACAAATATCCAATTGTACCAATCCAATTTCATAAAAATACCTAGGGGAGTAGTGAATTTCATAGATTAGGTATAATTGTTATGTACATTAATCTTCTGCATCATCTTTGTAATACTATACATGTGGCTACTACATGGGTCCGACAAAAATACTATACATGTGGCTACATATAACATGTGCGGCACAAAATCGACAAATATACTTACCCTTGACCCTTTGACAGTGATTCCACATTATCTTTGAAACTTAAAACAGGGTACATTCTAAATCAGGAGCAAAACAGAAATATGGATGATTATGGAACACTAAAGAGGTAGGAAGTTTAGTTATTTCTGAATGTTATGTATCCTTACTCCTTCATGTTTGTCATTCCATCGTCTACCAATTCTATATTTCCATTCATTCTGTTGTTTTGTAATATCATAGTTTAAATATTTGCCTTGCAGGTGCTATGTAATACTGATAGGTTGAATGTTGTTATTTTTTCCTTCCAGCAAATACCTTTCATTCAGATTTTTGGTAATATTAGAGTTAAAATGCCCGTTTTGCTAATGTTGTATGATAATGATAAGTTGGGATCTGTTATTCTTTTTCTTTCAGCAAGCATTTCTATATTTTGCCATCACTTCATCAGATGGATGAAATCCTTTTGGTTGTTGCATTGTGTTGAGATATGAAAAGCTAAGTGGTGTGTTAACACGGTTATAGTTAGTTAAGGGTAAACTAGTCATTTCCATTAGTTAGTTATAACAACCTACAGAATATTAGTTAAAAGAAGGTTAATTACTAACAGATAATGTGATGTATAAATAACCCTTCTATCATTGTAATCCATAGTTTTTTGATCAATAATAGAGTCTTCTTCTTCCTTAGATATTTTCTCTCTAAGTTCTAGATTCTTCCTTTACGTTCATGGTATCAGAGCTCTCTTCCCAGTAGCTACTGGTGAAGACGAGTTAGATCTAGAATCAAAGGATCGTTGTAGATCCATCGATTCATTGTTGCTGATTTCCTTCAGCGGCAGATTTCAGTTTGAAATTTGCATTTTTTTGCTTCCGCGAAAAGAGATTCATCAAAGCAGTTCCAGTCAGGTGTTGAATCAGAGTTTGATCAATGGCTCCTGATCATGTAGCAGTGGATCTGGCTCAGAATCTCAATATTGGTCAAAATGTTGGTACATCTGCTCATAACAATGGCAGTTCTTCTTCAAATCAAGGTATCAACTATAATCATCCTCTGTTTTTGAGTCCAACTGATATCAGTGGGATCAACCTGATTTCTTTTCAATTGCTTGGCATTGAAAATTATATGTTGTGGAGTAGATCGATTCAGCTAGCCTTGTTAGGAAGAAACAAGTTAGGGTTGATTGATGAGAGTTGTAGGAGAGAAGTATATAGTGAGGAACTATGGGGACATTGGGAAAGAGTTAATGCTATAGTATTATCCTGGCTAATGAATTCTGTTTCTAAAAGCTTGTTGAGTGGTATTGCTTTTGCTTCAAGTGCTTTAAATGTGTGTAATGACTTGAAGGAAAGATTCGATAGAGTGGATGGATCTAGGACATACAGTTTGCACAAAGATATAGTTTCATTACAATAGGGTACTGCTTCTGTATCTGTGTATTTCACAAGACTTAAGACCTTATGGGATGAGTTTGAGGTGTTGGTACCATCTCCTTGTTGTAATTGTGAAAAATCAAAAGGTTTTGTGGAACATATGAATAGGCAGAAATTATATCAATTCTTAATGGGATTGAATGAATCATATCACCAAGCTAGGAGCCAAATTCTTATGATGAACCCTTTACCATCCATTAATCATGCATATGCTATGATTGTGGGAGATGAGAGTCAAAAAGCAGTAGTTCATACATCCAGTAGTAGTTTGGGACTGAGTGCTATGAATATGGAATCTGTTGCCTTATATTCCAAAGCTGGTAGTAGCTCAGGGGTGAGTCAAAGGTACAAGAAGAACTATCTGCTAGTTTGTGATTTCTGCAAATGTAAAGGACATAGTAAGGAGTTTTGTTACAAAATTGTAGGATATCCACTTGACTTCAAGTCTAAAAGAAAGGGTCAGGGAAGTGAATCTGGACAGTACAGTCAATCTTCAGCAGCTCAGGCTCATTTCTCTTATGGTTCCAACACTAATGTATAGGTTCCTGAGTGGGGAAAGAAAGTTGAAAGTTCTCCTTATCATAGCTTTGGTGGTGAATCTATAGCTGAGAATACTAAAGCTAATATGCAATTAAGTCAAGCTAAGAAAGATGTCAAGCAACTACTTCAGGGGTGCACGTTCACAAAGGATCAGTATGATCACATTCTTAGAATGTTTAAACAGCAAAAACAAGATCAAGCTATACCTGATTGCAGTGCAGTGCAGTGAATACTGCAGGTAAAGCATTCTCTGTCTCTGCAAATAATAAGGTGTGGATTATAGATACGGGTGCTACAAATCATATGGTGTCTAACTTGAAAATGTTGTCCAAGAATTCTGTGACAAAACTTGATACTCCTAAAATTGTTTATCTTCCAAATGGTGATACTACTACAGTGACTCATGTGGGTACTTGAGATTTGTCAGCTAACAGTGTCATTACAAATGTGTTTCACCTGCCAAACTTTCAACATAATTTGTTGTCTGTAAGTAAAATCACAAAGGAATTAGGTTGCTCAGTCACCTTCTTTCCTCATTTTTGTGTTTTCCAGGAACTTTACACTGGAAAGGTGAAGGAGGTTGGTAAAGAGGAAGGAGGATTGTATTTGTTGTTAAGCCAGTTGACACATGGAACTGAAAGTGAAGTGAAGAAGTCTGTTTGGGTTGTTCCTAGAGTGCTCTCCAGTATATAATTGTGGCATCAAAGATTAGGACATGTGTCTTCTGTAGTCCTTGCTAGAATGTTTGATATGAATAAAGACAATATGTGTAAGGTTTCTAAATGCACAGTTTGTCCTTGTGCTAAGCAGACAAGATTACCTTTTCCTTCAAGTAGTATTAAAAGTAATGCTTGTTTTGAGTTGATACATGTTGATGTATGGGGTCCTTATAACACACATACCTTTGATGGTAACAAGTACTTTCTCACAATAGTGGATAATTTTTCAAGAATGACCTGAATTTTTTTACTCAAACTTAAGTCTGATATGCATGTGTCTCTTAAGTTGTTCTTGCAATATGTTAAGACTCAGTTTGGTACGACTGTTAAAATGGTAAGGTCTGACAATGGAACTGAATTTCTTAACTCAGTATGCAATACAATGTTTAAAGATTTGGGAGTTATACATCAGAGATCTTGCCCCTATACCCCTCAGCAAAATGGTGTTGCTGAGAGGAAACATAGGCATATACTTGATGTTACAAGAGCACTCAGGTTTCAGGCTAAAATTACTTTGACATTTTGGGGGCACTGTGTTCTGGCAGTAGTATATCTGATCAATAGATTACCAAGTAGTGTGATAGATCATCAAACTCCTTATGAGAGATTGTATGGGTGCTCACCAGGTCTGTCTCATTTAAGAACAATAGGTTGCTTGTGCTTTGCTAAAAATCTATGTGAACATGATAAACTGATGTCCAGGTCAAGATCAGCTGTTCATATGTGATATTCAGATGTTCAGAAGGGGTATGTACTATTTGATATAACCAACAGGTCCTTCTTTGTCAGTCGAGATGTTATTTTTAGGGAAGATGTCTTTCCCTTTACCCAGGAGAAGGAGAATAGCCTGAACACTCACACTGTGTTTGAGGACACTGTCCAAGGATCAGGTGTGATGTATGAAGATTTTAATCAGTTCTCTCATATGCCTCTACGGTGTGATGATGAAGTTGTTCTTACAGAAGGTGGTGAAGAAGTTTCAAGTTCTCATATGCCTGAAGTAGAACAGGTACAAGATGGAAGTGCTCAGGTTATTGATACCACTGTGTGTGACTCAACACAGGATGCTGTCCAAGCACCTACCCGAAGGTCCACTAGAACTACACATACTCCTACATGGATGCAAGATTTTGTCTCCTTGAATATCAGTGAGGATGTGCAATATCCACTGTGCAACTACATGAGCTATGCTCACTTGTCTCCTTCTTATAAATGTTATATTGCTGCTACTTCAACTGTCCAAGAACCTGTGTCCTATGCAGAAGCTATTAAAGACAAAAGGTGGGTAGAGGCCATGCAAACTGAGATACATGCTCTGGAGACCAATAACACTTGGGTTCTCACTGACTTGCCAATAGGAAAGAAACCTATAGGCTGTAGGTGGATATACAAAGTAAAGTACAAATCTACTGGTGAAATAGAGAGATTCAAAGCAAGGTTGGTTGCTAAGGGCTACAGTCAGCAAGAAGGGATAGACTATCATGAGACTTTTTCCCCTGTTGTTAAGATGGTCACTGTGAGAACCATAGTGGCTCTGGCTGCCTTTAGACAAAGGCACATTCATCAGATGGATGTCTTTAATGCCTTTTTACATGGTGATTTAGAAGATGAAATTTACATGCAGTTACCTCAGGGTTTTGTCACTCAAGGGGAGAAGGTGTGCAGACTGACAAAGTCTCTTTATGGACTCAAACAGGCTCCAAGACAATGGAACCATAAGCTAACAGAAGCTCTCATCAAACTCAGGTTTAAACAAAGTCCACATGACTACTCTTTGTTCATTAATAGATCAGAGGAAAAGGATTGTGATTGTACTAGTGTATGTGGATGATATGTTAATAACTGGCAGCAGTCTGAAGATGATTGAAGAGACAAAGAAAGCATTACAACAAGCATTTAAGATGAAGGATCTAGGGGAATTGAATTCATCAGGTCAGTTGATGGCATACTTATGCATAAGAGGAAATATGCCCTGGAACTTATAACTAAAGTTGATCTGTCAGCAGCAAGGCTGCTGGAACTCCCATTGACATTAATGTCAAACTAACATCTAAGTTGTATGATGATCATATACATAAAGGATAGGAGGAAAATCCCTTGGTAGATGTAACAATGTATCAGAAGTTAATAGGGAAATTATTGTATCTCAACATGACCAGGCCTAATATATCATTCAGCACTCAGACCTTAAGTCAATTCTTGCAGCAACCAAAGAAGTCACATATGGATGCTGCACTAAGAGTGGTGAAATATCTAAAAAGACAACCTGGACAGGGAGTATTATTAGCCAGTTCCTCTGATCAAAAGGTTACTGCATTTTGTGATGCAGACTGGGCATCTTGTCCACTTACCAGGAAGTCTGTAACTGGATACATGATCAAAGTAGGGAGTTCTCTTGTGTCTTGGAAAGCTAAGAAGCAAACCATAGTTTCAAAAAGTTCAGCAGAAGCTGAATACAGAAGTCTTGCGTCTACCGTGTCTGAACTAGTGTGGCTGCTTGGATTATTAAAAGAAGTAGGTGCTGAAATACAATTACCAGTTCAGATATATTGTGATAGTAAAGCAGCAATATAGATTGCTGCAAATCCAGTGTATCACGAGAGGACCAAACACATTGAGATCGATTGTCACTTTATAAGAGAAAGGTTGCAACAGGGGCTAATCAAAGTCAATTACATACCTACCAAAAAACAGCCTGCTGATATAATGACTAAAGGACTATCCAGACTGCAGCATGAACATCTTATATCCAAGCTAGGAATGCTAAACATTTTTGCACTACCTAGCTTGAAGGGGAGTGTTGAGATATGAAAAGCCAAGTGGTGTGTTAACACGGTTATAGTTAGTTAAGGGTAAACTAGTCATTTCCATTAGTTAGTTATAACAACCTACAAAATATTAGTTAAAAGAAGGTTAGTTACTAACAGATAATGTGATGTATAAATAGCCCTTCTATCATTGTAATCCATAGTTTTTTGATCAATAATAGAGTCTTCTTCTTCCTTAGATATTTTCTCTCTAAGTTCTAGATTCTTCCTTTACGTTCACATTGTGCTGATTTTGTACTTTAGAAGTATTAGAATGTTAGAGATTCAACATTTACTCTCTATAGCTTATTGAAATGTGAAATAGTTACACGTGTTCAGTTTTGCTCCCATTGATTTTCTTCTAAAAAAAGGAAAACTACATATCGAGGGAGAGAAGACGGATGACTCATGGGCTTAACTTCATCTACATCTACAAATTGGGACAAGCTTGAAGTCATGAAACAAGCATGGGACGAACTCTGCATCACATAATTGTACACAAAGTTACGTAAGTTGATAGTTGTATTATCAACGATTTAATTTTTCTTAGCTTCTCAAGTAGACACGTGTATTGCACTTTAATTGTAGTCCCATGATTTGTTTCTTCTTGGACACGTGTCTACCTTTTTGTTTCTTCAAGTCTCATTTTTGTTTGCTCTTATTAGTTTTTACGAGGTCATGCCTGATGGTCTCTTCAGTTCTTTGAGATTCAGTAATTAAAAGTAATCACAATTTGGTATGTGGACCTTAGTTTCCTACTCTTTTGAATATAGTTTCTAGCTAAAGATTTCTACATGTATGTTACTAACTGCTTCATTTGCACATGCATTGTATTTATTTGATGAATTTAATCTCTATATAGACAATTAATTAGTGCAGAAGTTAGACTGTCTCACAAAAATCTTAGATATCAAGAATGACTATGCCTTAACATCTTTTTTCTTCACTGTTTACTAATCCTCTCTACAAACCTCCGAGATTCAGGCTATTGTTTGGTAAGAATTGGACGGATTTTTTCTGATCTTGCTTTATTATTATCGCTACTAATTTGGTATATTTTGTATATTTTTTACTTTCTTATTGTTTTTTAATATAATTTCTGGCCAGAATTTCAAGTACATATTTTAGTTATTTTACTTGATCTACATATGCGTTATGTCTCTTTGATTAATTTTTTCATTGTTATTATCTAATAAGTGCATAATTACATCGTCATGTGGCAAAATTTAAGCTATAAAAAATGACTGAAATTTAGAAGTGGATTGTGGACTCGCATTTATTTGATGTTTGTCTCGAGTCATTTTATATGGAGTACTTGATTTTTTTCCCTTCTTTTGCTGCAGCAAGGAAAGTGGTTCATCATGTTGGCTGTTATGTCTTTCACACGCTAAAGGTATGAATGTAATTGAATTTTCGTAGGTTCCTTTCTTTTTTTTTTACTTTCAGTGGATTTCTCCTCGCTACTGTTCTTGCTCTCGAGTTTCAAGGATGTTTGCACTTTTGTTGCTGTGTGTTCAAGCTCTAGATATGTTTTTTCAATCAATCTTGCTCATACCTCCTTTTTCCCCCCTTCATTTTCCTCTCTTTCTCGGTTGCTGCTCAATTACTTTCACACTTCTTAATTTTCCAATTCACTAACATTTGTGGGTAAATATATGAGTATCATTGGAAGGCGATAGCGGCAAAGTAACAGGTGATGGTAGTAATTTCATTTGTTTTCTGTTCCTTTTTTTTTTAGTATTATGTTCAAATTTGGTTAGATTGAAGTTGAACGGATCATATCTTTGATTTTCTTTAATTATTCCTTTGCATGTATGTAATGGTTTTTTTGTGTTGCATTGATCGACTTTGTCTAATGACTTGCATGTATGCTACCATTATTGGAACAAATACTGTGTGATAACTCTACCTCAGTACTATAAAAGTAGCACAAAAGATGAATAAATGAGAAGGAAAAAAAGGATTAAAAGCTGAAGAAAATCAATTGATACATCTAATAAAGTGGGACACTGCCACATTGGAGAAGAAAATTGTAGATTTAGAAATAAATAGAATAAGAGTAAGAAATGGTAGTTTACTCATGAAGTGGTTATGGAGATATATTGTGAAAGAAGAGTCACTTTAGAGAAGGGTGAATATGAAAGTATGGGGTAAAAAAGGTGAATGGTGCATAAATAAGTTTATAGAGCCATATAAAAATAATGTATGGAAAACATATAAGAAGAATGTGGATCTTTTTGAATTAATGTACTCTTTATTTTAGATGATGGAAGAAAAATAGTATTCTGGCATAACAACGGATGAGGTCACCTACTTTTATTTCGAGTTTTTATGGATCTAACTCCTTTGCAATTCAAAGACATTTGATATACTTTTCAATTAGTAATTTTGGATCCTTGCTCGCTTTAATAATTACACCTCGACTAAGCTAAGGTGGCAAAAAACAATCAAGGTCTAGAGACAGAACAACAAGCAGGCTAAACTATGGGAAGGGTTAATTTCAGATTCTCTTAAATGTCAAGCCTTCAGGTACAATTTCACAGACTTTTTTCAGGCTCTTCAAATTTTGGCCCCCTTTTCTTCAAAAAGAAACATAGTGTTCTGTTTGGTGAACTGATAATGATTAGTGAAATTAAGGCTACTTTCATCACATACTTAATTGTTCATCTAGTGTCCAATTAATTGTTCACTGAGAGAAAGATGTATTTCTGATATGCAAATAATTCGACAAATGAGACATTGGTAATCATGGAAGCTCATCATTGAAATGTAAAATTAATTAGTCATTTCTTGAACATCGACAAGAGTCTGTATGTATATATTTATGTTAAATATATTTATATTGTATGTTTGATGGAATTATTTTTATAAAATTAGAACAAAATGGTTTACATTTAAAAAAAATATATTTTCCAACAACATGTTAATATGATTTTAGAAACTTGTATATTTTGAATATGGAATACACGCGCAACGCGCTTGCACATAGACTAGTATTACTTTAGGGAACAAAAAAGTTGAAAGTTAAAATACCAAAACAATCCTATAAAATTGAGTTACTACAAAAATACCATTAATCATATATCATATTAATATATATATTTCATTTTACCCTTGCACTAAATTAAAATATTTAATTAATTAAAATACTAAATAGTAATCATATCATATATAAATACAATATAATAAATGTGCACCTTCCAATTATAAGTTATAGAGTTTGTTTGAGAATTAATTAAGAAGTTAATTTATGATATCATATCAAAAACTTTTCATTTTTCAACCTTGATAAAACTTTTGAGCTTCCTACGTTGATTAATGTATTAATGAATCATTAATCTATAAGTTGGCCACCTTTCGAAAAAATTATAGTCCATCGAAAAAGTTAAAATCCTTTTGAAAAGTCGCAATCATTTGGAAAAGTCACAACTCATTGAAAATGTCATAATCCTTTGGAAAAGTCACAATCATTTGAAAAAATCACAACTTATCGAAAAAGTTACAACCTTTCAATGTGGAAAGATGTCTAATTTTAATACAATATAATATAATTAAAATAAATAAATAATAAAGAAGACATACTAAATTAAGCGTTTTTAATTGGAGGTATTATTTTAATTCAGCATTCAAGTTTGATATATATATATATATAATAACTTTTTTATGCAGTGATATTTAATAAAAATAACAAAAAAAGTTAATAGAAAAAGTAAAATCTAAATCTAAAATGATAAGAACGTGGGAACCTTTCAGATTCTACATTAAACAAACGGTTTTGACCATGTTTTTTGCTTTATCAAATAGGATTATTGTAAATAATTTTTAATTAACAGTTTCAATATATTTACTGCTCCAAACCTTTCTTACTTTTTAAACTCTTCAGAATTATCACACCAATTAGGGAATTTGACCGCGCTTCGCGCAGTTATGATGAAATATATATGTAAATTTATTTTCAAAAATAATTATGATACAAAAAATAAAAAATCAATTATAGAAATAATAAAAATGATAAAATCACAATACCAATATTTTTATGGAATTAGAGCTTAAGTGAATTACATTTTTATTAATGTTTTTCAAAAATAAAAGACTAATTTATTAAGAAAAAAATTCATATATTATGATGTTAATACATAAAATTCGGATAAACATATTTAAGGACTTGATTTTTTTTTCTTATTTTTGTCAAATGATAAATTTACTATCCAATGAATCTTCCTTTAAATCGGAAAAATAAATGATGAAACTAAAAATAGGAGGAAATAGAGATAAATATTTCTATTTCATTTCTTCTTTGATATTTAATCCTTTCTTTCTCCTTATTTTTTCTCTTATTATCATCGTCTAAATAATTATTATTCTCTATTTTTCATTATCATCTAAATAAACCTCTATTGCTAATTTTTCGTATATATCTTATATTATTATGGTGATTCATTAGAAGTAGAAGAAATGAACAAATTTAAATGGTTCTTCACCATAAGAAATACCTAAGACTTGCGTATTTCAATACTTAATATGCATTTAAGAAATGAACAAATTTAAATGGTTCTTCACCATAAGAAATACCTAATAATTCCGTATTTCAATACTTAATATGCAGTTTTTGAGCTATGAGTAATAAAATTTAAACGTCTATTAGCGTAGTTAGTTGTGTTCTGACAAAGTTACAAATAACTAATTTGAGCCTAAATGAAAATGTAATTTAGTAAAATTAAAATTTTTATAAGAACCTAAATTTTAAAAAATATATAGAGAGAGAACATATGAAAAAGTAAGTAAAAAGAGAAAAATAACAACACAATTTTATCAAGTCCTTAATCACAAAAACAAAGGTGATAAAAAATCATATAATGAATGCAATTATTTTTGAGCTTTGATTAGGCACCCCTTCTATTCATATCCAAGGGCATTTTCATGGAGTCAAACTGAAGTATAAATCTGATACTATAACAATAATATAGAATATCATTATTTTCAAATATGGAATAAAAATAATAATCTTGAGTAGGAATCTAATAGGAAAAAAATGAATTTATATAGACAAAATTGAAGAAAATTAATATCATAAGGTATCTTAAATTTTGAAATTAAATAGTTGGGGATTATGAATATAAAAATTTAAAGAAAAAGAGTTAATAATATTAATTAAAGTAAAAGTTCAATTAGGTATAAGTTATGGAGATAAGAATTTTAAAATAAAAGTAAGGAAAAAATAAAATAATAGAAGACAAAAAAAACTACATGAACTATTCAACATTTGTTGGGTGTTTAAGTTTTATTAGGAAAACAAGCAAATCAACTTCTTCTCTTTTTGTACTACTTCATTGTGTTTAACAAAAGTGAAAGAGGAAAAAAAATACAATAAAAAAAGAAGACAAATATCTTGAAATATTAAAGTAGTAAATTTTGAGACTTTTAATTTTTTGTAACAAAGAATAATAATGAGTGTAAATAATTTTTCAGACATTTAAGTATAACAATAAATAGAGGAGTAGTAATTGATATATTTATTTTTTGTACAATAATAAGTAAATAGAAAAATATGAAAATTTGTGGAAAAAAGATAAATAGAATCTTTGGCCAAAGAGAGGTGCAACTTCATTTCTCTATGAGATTTTTAAGTACAACAATATGTAATAGCTATAAGAAATGTATAATAGATAATATACTTGGCAAAATTTTAGAATATTGAAATAAAAATAATATATTAATGAATCTTTAAAATATTGAAAGCATTCGACCTTTATACTAATATGATCGATCTCTTGATGAATCTTTCAACATAATTAAACTTCCTTCTTCATTTTGATGATCTTGTACTAAATTAATGTGAACATCTCTTTATAATGAATCTTTGAAGAATATATCTTTGTTCTTCATCAAAGTGAAGAACATATCATGTCACTATCTTTTCTATGATTTCATATGGAAAAGATGAAGAATAATTTTTATTATTTTTAAAAGAGAAACAAAAACTACACTAATAGAAAGAAAGAATGAGAAAAATGAAAAATGAATATTCAACATCTCCATGGATGATTGTAATTTATAGATTTGATAATCTATAAGAATAAGTTGAAGAGACATGTTATTTAAGTAGAGAATATGAATATATGAAGATTTTTTTGTAACTCATTAGATTAAATTAGAATAGTAAATATGATTGTTTTTTTATTTAATAAATAAAATATTTAATGAAAAGAATTTGATAATCTATAAGAATAAGTTGAAGAGACATGTTATTTAAGTAGAGAATATGAATATATGAAGATTTTTTTGTAACTCATTAGATTAAATTAGAATAGTAAATATGATTATTATTTTTATTTAATAAATAAAATATTTAATGAAAAGAATTAAGAAAAAAAATCTCAAAAAAGGAGAAAAAAGAATGGAGGCCATAGAGAGGTGTCACATCACCTTGTCTATGTTTCTTCTTTATATTATATATAGATTCCAAACAAAAATTAATCTGCCCTAAGCATTCAAATGCTATTGTGAAAGCAAACTGATCTGTCGAGACATGCCTTTGAAGTAGAACACTACTAATGAGAAGGCTTCGGTAGATTACATAGCTATATGGTAAATCAAGAAGCTTTTTTATTTATTTTTAAAGGAATAGTTAATTCAGTAAGAGTTGTATATGTAATGTTATGTCATTTGGTGAAATTTCATATATGGTACATAAATAATCATGTTCTCTTTATTTATAAAATGAATTAGTATATGATTTCTGTTGTTGAAAAATAAATATATTAAGAGGCCTTTGTAGAGATATGGTGGCATATTTGAGTACAAATGAAACATATTTTGGTTTATGCTTTACTGTAAAAACGGTACTCTTGTTACTTTAGCTAGGCTTTTGATCTATTTTTTCCTACAATTAGCTTTAGATAATTAAGTAGTGGTTTTTATTCTTTGAATTTTTATACATAATAAACTATGAATAGTAAAGTTCAATTTGTAAAAGAAATATTAAAATAGTTTTAATTCATTCATTTTTCTATTTCATTATGCGACTATTTTATAGTTAAACTTTATGTGTTCGACTCTCATGAGTATTTTTTTTTTATATATATCTGAATAATTTGTTTACCACGTTTCTCTTAAAATGCCAATTTGTAATATTTATTTTCATGTCTTTTTGTTTGTTAAATTATGTTTGGGTTATTAATTAAAATTTTTGAAATCCAAAATATGTTGCTTTCTTCAATTTATTGTAGTGTTAAACATTTTATGAAATACTAAACGTTAAATTACCAACATCTTACACATGATTATTGTGTTATATTTTGTGATATGATTATATTTACATTGAACCTTTGCATTTACATTTTCTATTGCTCATTACAACATCCAAACTATTTCAGATTGAGTTTGCATTTCTCACGATTACATTTTCTATTACACATTACTTGTATGTGTTAGATCGAGAAAGATTTTGATAATTGACAAATAGAGGAACAGATGAAAGGAGCCGGTTGCGCGACATGTTCCTTTAAGACCGAATCCAACTGGGATAAGGAGAACGTCAACCATGCGAATTAGAGGTTATAAAGTAGTGGAGGGATTACTTTTTCGACAAGCAACTAGTACATAAAGTTTCCTTTTTATAAAGGA